ATATATATATATATATATATATATATATATATTTATATATATATTTATATATATTTATATATATATATATATTTATATATATATATATTTATATATATATTTATATTTATATATATATAAACAGTTATACATTTTTTGTACTAAAATGTATACAAAATTACGCAATTTTTGCACATCATGAACAACAACAAAATATTGTGAAAGATTGGTTAAGAAAAGTTGTCGACGATGGCGTCCCTTATTTTCAAGTTCCTTCAGGCCAGACATCTATCTTTGCTTTAGTGTCTTGGTCCGGGGAAAAAGGCGACAGAGGCTCGAGCATTTCCCCCCGCCATTTCCGAGGTGGTTTAACCCCATTACTCAAGCCGGAGAAAGGGTCTTAAGACTTACCATTGAAACCACTTTGTCATAGCGATGACGACACTTTTGGTCCCCGGAGATTTCTGCGTTCGCAATGGCTATCTTCTTGAGGTTATCTTGAGATGATTTCGGGGCTTTAGTGTCCCCGCGGCCCGGTCTTCGACCAGGCCTCCACCCCCAGGAAGCAGCCCGTGACAGCTGACTAACACCCAGGTACCTATTTTGCTGCTATCTAACAGGGGCATAGGGTGAAAGAAACTTTGCCCATTGTTTCTCGCCGGCGCCTGGGATCGAACCCAGGACCACAGGATCACAAGTCCAGTGTGCTGTCCGCTCGGCTGACCGGCTCCCCCTACGTGATTACTGTTGTATATATATATTAGGCTGCGAGAGTATATATGAGAGTTTTCTATCTTTATCTCAAGAAACCGTGATTGTATTGACTTATGATACTTTAGTTTGAGGAAAAGACGATGGTTGTCGTTATTACTAAGCGATGTAGCCCCATAAAAATGTTAATTTTGGGTAGTTTTCATGTGATATTTTAAGAAAGCCTCATTTGCAGAATCTATAATGTCAACTCCAGCACATGATAAACATAACTTTCGACGCTGAGCAATTCTGCCATATATTTCGATAAGAGGCATTTTTGTTTTAAAGAATGTTAACAATATTGTTTGGATAGGCCTCGCATAGCGAACGGAGGGATGCCTCGTTTGAGATAAATATGGAAATATACTAATAAAATAGTAAGTGCTGTAAAGGCGTACCGGTGGACTCCAGGAGGAAACACAGGATAGGAAGCTCCCCTCCATAGCAACTTATCCAGTAAGAGGTTTGGTGACTGGACAAACACAGTGAGTGATGGGATCCACGGGTTGAATATCCCCCTCCTCACCCCTATTCTCTCTCTCTGTCTCTCTATCTCTCTCTCTCTTTCTCCCTCTCTCTCTCTCTCTTTTGTCCTACACAAACCTTCCAAACTTACCCAGGGACAGGAGCCCTTTCTCCTGCCCGGGTACAGGAAAAGGGCCCGGGTACAAGCCCTTTCTGGGCCTGTACCCGGGCCCTTTCTGGGCCTGTACCCGGGCCCTTTCTGGGCCTGTACCCGGGACCCTTCTGGGCCTGTACCCGGGACCCTTCTGGGCCTGTACCCGGGACCCTTCTGGGCCTATACCCGGGCCCCTTCTGGGCCTGTACCCGGGCCCTTTCTGGGCCTGTACCCGGGCCCTTTCTGGGCCTGTACCCGGGCCCTTTCTGGGCCTGTACAAGGGCCCTTTCTGGGCCTGTACCCGGGCCCCTTCTGGGCCTGTACCCGGGCCCTTTCTGGGCCTGTACCCGGGCCCTTTCTGGGCCTGTACCCAGGCCCCTTCTGGGCCTGTACCCGGGACCAGGCCCAGAAAGGGCCCGGGTACAGGCCCAGAAAGGGCCCGGAAAGGGCCCGGGTACAGGCCCGCAAAGGGCCCGGGTACAGGCCCAGAAATGGCCCGGGTACAGGCCCGGAAATGGCCCGGGTACAGGCCCAGAAAGGGCCCGGGTACAGGCCCAGAAAGGGCCCGGGTACAGGCCCAGAATGGGCCCGGGTACAGGCCCAGAAAGGGCCCGGGTACAGGCCCAGAAGGGGCCCGGGTACAGGCCCAGAAAGGGCCCGGGTACAGGCCCAGAAAGGGCCCGGGTACAGGCCCAGAAAGGGCCTGGGTACAGGCCCAGAAAGGGCCCGGGTACAGGCCCAGAAGGGGCCCGGGTACAGGCCCAGAAAGGGCCCGGGTAAAAAGCCAGCCTGCCGCCCCTCGCTCTAGCCTCTTCCATGTCATTTCACTAATATGTTCCCTCTACGTCGGCCTCCTCTCCTCTCCCTCCATCATTTCCTCCCTTCTGTCCACTTCCCCATCCCCCTTTTATAATTGTTTACATATGGTTCGATGGGGTATGGCACGTTTACTGTACACAAACATCACGCCCACACTCGGGTTATAGAGGACGCCTTCACCCTCACTCGCATCTGCTCGGCGCAGCGTCCACCAGGAAGTGTTCAGGTGCCCACTACACTGCATCTGCAGCCTGTGCCTTCGGGTTTTGATTGTAGCCGTTGTTTGTTAACGGCAGTGGTTGGTCTATTGCGTACCCTTGTCCTGTGAGCGGTAATGCAAAAGGAATTCCAAAGGACATAAAAAGTCTTAATCAGACCCCCAGCGGGTCCTCTTTGATATTATTACAATTTATTTGGTGTTGTTTGACTGTTACAATATATACATATACTCCTTACATTTATTCCTAATTACTTTGCTTGTAAAAGAAGTACTGTTTGCACGGCAACTTCTAAGTAATATGTCTAAGTGACATGGCGCAGAACCCAATCGCAATTGTGGCTATGTGACTCAATTGAACAAGGCACAACTTCCCTATCATGGTGTTGCTGCTGCTGCCTGGTAGTCTGACTGCTTCATCTACCACACAGCCTCAGATATAGATATAACAGAGCACAACAATCTCTGGAACTTGTACACCAGTCGACTGAAGGTTCAAAAGAGGGACCAAAGAGCTGAAGTCTAATTCTCGGTTATTATAACTAAGTAAATACAGGGCAAGCCAATCAACTGACTAGCCTCGTGCAGACTGCAACCCACCAACTTACATAATCTGCATCTTGTAGTCCTCCTAATGCAATATTTACCATCGAATATCGATATTCTTACACAATTCAAATACCGATTCCCATAAATAATTCAGACAAAAATCTAATAAACATTTAGCTAATTCACATATTCCTTCTCACAAACTGTTCAGATATCCATTATGACAAACATGGATTTAGACGCAGCTGGACATTTAACAAGATCTAGATTTAATACTTACATTAGCATACTAAACATTTGTCATCAGTATAAGCGTAACTAATGAGCCTGGCAGTGTCTCGTGGACAGGAGCAGGAAGCCTCACGGACAGGGAGAAAGGACATTAACAGGAGCTATTATCCACCAGACATAGAAAGCTTGATGATTGTTGCCGCCGAAGGCGGCTAGTTTATTGTGCACCCCATACTCATCCTGTGAGCGGTAGCGCAAAAGCTGTAATGCTTTTGCGCTACCGCTTTAATGTTTAAATTTAATAATGTGAGACAAACTTTAATGTTCGTTAAGTATACATGTAGATAATGTGAACAAAAGAAACAAAGACATGCCAAACGAGCAAAAGCCTCATAATGGGCTAGACGCGACGGAGCTCTTAGGGCGCTTATTTGTGAGGTGCCTCACCCAGCACGCAGGTGGGTGAAGCACTCTCCCCAGACACCCACACAACCATCCCACTCATCCACCCAACACTGTACTACGCAAACAAACACTCGTGCGAGTTACGGCAGCGTAAAGAACATGATGGTGTGGAGCGAGCGAGTGAACGGGCCTGAATTTGGAGTTAGTAAAGCGAGAGAACTGTGAATACCAGTGATTGTGTAGCGTGCACAAGCAGCAACAGCACCAGCAACAGCACCACCAGCAGCAGCACCAGCAACAGCAGACGAGAATAATTAGAACGATTTCGTGTATTAACATTTTCAATAAATACAATATATACGTCTGTAATTCTTGAAAGCGTTCGGATGATTTCGTTCAGCTCTTGAAGCCATCTGACGGTGGTGTTCCCAGGAAACAACATCAAAATTCACGCAGAGTCCACAAATATTTTACAAGGAGCACTCTGCCTGGGATCCGAATGTGGCTGACGTTTACTCATCTCCGATTGTGTCCAGACACTCCGGCTTATTTGTCCGAATAAATGTAGGGGACACTGGACATTTTCGTCTAGTCAGAGAGAAGGAAAGAGGCAGAGAGAGAGAGAGAGAGAGAGAGAGAGAGAGAGAGAGAGAGAGAGAGAGAGAGAGAGAGAGAGAGAGAGAGAGAGAGAGAGAGAGAGAGAGAGAGAGAGAGAGAGAGAGAGAGACAGAGAGAGAGAGAGAGAGAGAGAGAGAGAGAGAGAGAGAGAGAGAGAGAGAGAGAGAGAGAGAGAGAGAGTAGAGAGTAGAGAGAGAGAGAGAGAGAGAGAGAGAGAGAGAGAGAGAGAGAGAGAGAGAGTAGAGAGAGAGAGTAGAGAGAGAGAGAGAGAGAGAGAGAGTAGAGAGAGAGAGAGAGAGAGAGAGAGAGAGAGAGAGAGAGAGAGAGAGCACAAACATTATAAAGTTAAGAGAAGTTTGGATAAGTTAACATTCAGAAAAGAACTGGGTAAATACTGGTTTGGAAACAGTTGTTGATTTATGGAACAAATTACCGGGTAACATAACAGACGGAGAATCGGTGGAGTGTTTCAAACGTAGGTTAAACATTACATCAATGACTTTGGGAGGATATAAACAGCAGCTCCCTACTATGAACTATGGTCTTCAGCAGTTTCATACATTCTTATGGTCTTACAGAGAATAGCCACGACGAAACAATACAACTACATTCGAAACAACTAAAATCCAAACCCAAGGAAACAAGCGCCCTAAAGGGTTCAATTAATTAAAAGGAGAGAAGGAGGAGGAGGAGGAGAGAGGAGAAGAATGGAGATAATGTGAAACAGTGAAGAGGAGCAGGATGTCACATGGATGAAAAGAGAGACAAATACATGAAATAAAAATGACTAATGACTGCCGCTGAGACTCAATGCCACCTGAGTGTGGACAAACGGGTGACATGAGGGGTTATGAGGGCGGGGGTTATGAGGGCGGGGGTTATGAGGGCGGGGGTTATGAGGGCGGGGGTTATGAGGACGGGGGTTATGAGGGCGGGGGTTATGAGGGCGGGGGTTATGAGGGCGGGGGTTATGAGGGCGGGGGTTATGAGGGCGGGGGTTATGAGGGTGGGGGTTATGAGGGTGGGGGTTATGAGGGCGGGGGTTATGAGGGCGGGGGTTATGAGGGTGGGGGTTATGAGGGCGGGGGTTATGAGGACGGGGGTTATGAGGGCGGAGGGGGATATGAGAGAGCGCGGGACGATGAGGACATAAATTAGATAATGAGGCGTCTAATGACGTTAGCAATAGATGGAGAAGAAGAGGCGGACGGTTGATAGAAAGTGGTAGAAGAGGTGAGAGAAGGTGAGAGAAGAGGTGAGGGAAATAGTGCTTAATTTTTTCTACTTACGTAGGTGTGTAATTTTATTAAAATCTGAAGCGTTCTCTTTCTCTCTTTCTGTGCCTATATCTCCGTCCATCAAGTTTATTCCTTTACTATTTTGTATGTAGTGAACATATCCACTCTGATCCTCCTTTTCACAAGTGTTGCAATATTAACCCGTCTTTGTAGCTGAGAGTGGGAGGGAGGGAGAGAGGAAAGGTTCTGGAGGACACAGTGGAAATATTGGGTGGGTACGGCAGAGATATAGTGGTGTGGGGAACACTGGATTTTCTTGGTGTAGGGAAACTGGCTGGGGTTGAGGACTACAATAGGAGCTGTGGGAGTGAGTGGTCGTGTTAAGGGTGAGGTTAGAAGCGAAGTTCATCCTGGGGTGTTTCGATGTAAGGGGAGGTTATCTTGAGGTTATCTTGAGATGATTTCGGGGCTTTTTAGTGTCCCCGCGGCCCGGTCCTCGACCAGGCCTCCACCCCCAGGAAGCAGCCCGTGATAGCTGACTAACACCCAGATACCTATTTTACTGCTAGGTAACAGGGGCATAGGGTGAAAGAAACTATGCCCATTGTTTCTCGCCGGCGCCTGGGATCGAACCCAGGACCACAGGATCACAAGTCCAGCGTGCTGTCCGCTCGGCCGACTGGCTCCCAGATATGTATAGTGCTCCTCTATAGAGTGCTATGCTCCTCTCTTCTACTCCCAGGGGAAGTAGAAGATGCGCCGAAGAGCATCTTAGGATATTTAGATGTGAGGAAAGTGGGAATGAAGGTGAATTTTGAGATGAGGTTAGGAATGTGGAGCTTCTCCTGCAGGTGTGGAGGGTAGTGCATACAGGGCCTCGTGACAGTAGGTGGATGGAGCGTTGAAGACCACATACTACAGGTCCATGTATGTGGGACGGGGAAGTGAAGACCTTACTAGGGTGTTTGGAAGAGTATGTTGTTTGGTGGCTTCATCATCCCCCTCACCTGACACAGTCTCGGAGACGTCTTTAGCTGTCGGATTGTAGCGTGGTGGAGAGTGGTTCAGGAAGGTCGATTTGTAAGGGTGGTGAGGGGGGGGAGCTTGAGGCCTCGGGAGGGAATACTTGGGCTGAGTCTGAAGTCTGGAGAAGTTGGTGAGCCATTTGTAAGGAGGAGGGGGGCCTCGTGGGATAACAGTTATAGTTATTGTTGACTTGGGTTGTTCTACGGCACTGAAAGTTGTTCTTTTAGTGATGTGTTCCCGGCCAACGTTAATGATCCAGCTGAGGAGGCAGGGTTGGTCTGGCTACTGGTGTTCGTAGGGACCCCAAGCACCCAAGATCTCAGTTCCCCGAGGTACAGGTAAGCACAGACAGGTAACCCCAATAAGATACGAATAATTAGGTAAGCATTACTTGGTAAGCGGAGACAGGTTGGCACAGGAGACCACAGTTAGATAAGCGTGCTGGTGCATATACCCAAACATCACCTTTATCACTAAAGTGGTCGAGATGAAAAATACAGCGTTTTCCAGCTGAGTCTGCTGCAAGGATTGTCAAGAAGCCTCGTTTGGGCCACGTCCGTCATGTGAGCTTCTTAGTCTGCATTTCCACCCAAATTTCCAGCCGCTGTTCCAGACGGCATCTTGTTAGTGTCACTTTGCAAACTGCTGCTTGTATATCACTTCTATATCACTATACATATCAGGAAAATCCTTTTCTCCGAGATGAAGGTGCATTGTGGTTTGGCCACGAGGACACTGTACCAGCGCAGCACAGTGGAAGTCTTTGGGGACAAAGTTAGATGACTCCAATTCTAGTTTGTAGGAGGTATTAAATTTCTTCACATGAACTTGGACCTTAACGTTCATTGAAGTTCGGTCCGTGTTCTTGACTGTTGTTTCCCTTATCTCGGCAAACACACACATCTCTCGCTGTCTCCAGGTTCCTCTTTCACTTGAAAGGGTGTTTGTTAGTGTGTACGAACAGCCGGGCGTGAGTGCGTCCAACTGCGACAGTCAACGCCCCGACCAACTCGCGACCCAAACCGTAAAGTTCCAAGACCCCGAAACCCGGGCAGCAAGGACGTCGAGGGAAGTAGAACACACTACACACACGACTGAAAGCAACGTAAAGCACACGTCGACAATGGCGGGCAGCCCAGCCCCACACGGCATAAATCACAGAGGATCAGACGTTGACGGTGGCAGGAAAGCCCAGCTCATTCGATATAACTCACAGAAAAGCAAAGGTCGAAGTTAGCGAACAAGCTCCATCTACTCAGTATAAATCATAGAACAGAGATTTACCAGTCCCCGTGGTGTAGTGGTAAGACACTCGCCTGGCGTTCCGCGAGCGCTTTGTCATGGGTTCGTATCCTGGCCGGGGAGGATTTACTGGGCGTAAATCCTTAACTGTAGCCTCTGTTTAACGCAACAGTAAAATGTGTACTTGGTTGTAACAACGATTCTTCGCGGCGGGGATCGTATTCCAGGGACCTGCCCGAATCGCTACGCGTACTAGTGGCTGTACAAGAATGTAACAACTCTTGTATATATCTCAAAAAAGATGTCATCGTTGACAGGGACGACCAGCCCATACGATATATATCACATCAGTCACGACCATAAACAGCTCCCTGGTCGCAAATACACAGGTCTTATTTTTAGTTCACCGCTTAATTTTTTTTGTAACTTCAAGAATATATTTTGCTGCTCCCACCATTCTCCTCCCCATATATGGACTTTCAATTTCAATACTGGACTCGTCTACGTTGGCGCCTCATGTGTTATGCAGGAGTGTTAGCAGAAGGCTTGGCAGCAGCAGGTGGTGGTGGGACGAGATTACCCACGCGCGCACCACCATTACACGTTCAGGTATGTGGCAATATCTCCAAGTGTACACACTTCGGGAGAGGAACACTGCCTCTCTCCATTAGTCTGCCCCTCTCGAGCGCCTCGCCTTTACGTTTTCTTTCTTTCAGTAATTCTTCTCTTCATTATTTGGCTTTAACTACTTTTCTCCTTTTAATTTTTATTTTAAATCATTCTTTTTTCTTCATTTCTTATTTATTAACTGTATTTTTTGTTGCTCATTTCCCCCTCTCTTTCGGGTTGACCTCATTTCACGTGTATCCGCACGAGAGAATGTTCCAACTGAATCAATGATGATTGTTGCTGGCATGTTATTAAGACCGGCGCAGCCATAATGAAGCTGGTAATGGCTGAGCGCCTTGTGCTGTTTCCGCTCAATTCTCACCTATGAACACAAGTCGTATAAAGGATAAGGAGCAAACCGGGCAGCCTTACGGGCTCACCATAGCCCGTGCTACATAGACATTTCAGAGAAGGTATGAGAAGTGCCTTGGTTCTATGTATATTGGCTGTATAGTGATTGCTGGGTTCAGCACATTGTTCTTCATGGTAAATGAACAGTCAGACTTCATCCCAAGATGTTAATTTCATCACTGAACACTGAGTTTCTGTACCTCGTAGATATATGTCTGTTCCAGTTCCCATATGTATTGGTGTCTAGTTATATAGTATGGTAAAGAGAGGAATGCCGGTGGAAGGAAAGGTTGATGGGAGGGGGGGGGGGGAGATGAATGTTAGTCTTGCATCAAGGGAACTGTTGTGGGGTGCATCCTGGGGAACGTCAGTCGTTGTTTACGGGGACCTTTATAAGGCTGACAGGCTTCCTGTCTACCTCAATGGTAAGACATCACTCTATATACATATATATGCGAACAAGCTTGAATGGTCCCCAAGCCAATATGCAACTGAAAACTCCACACACCAGAAGGATTCGAACCCAGACAGCCAGGACCACTATGCACCATGGCGTACCTTGTTCCATAACCACTCGACCACCATGACTGTACAAAAGTAGTCGAGTATTGAACATTGGTAGCCGAGGCTATATCCCCAACGACCCGACAGCACTTGGTGGTAAGCTTGGGCATAGATACTTCATCGAATCACCTCATTTTGTGGGGCCATGTGAGGAACACAAAAGCGAACAAGCTTGAATGGTCCCCAAGCCAATATGCAACTGAAAACTCCACTTAAGGAAATTCCTGTCTTAATCCTTCCTTCGTGGTGTGACACTATCGTATATATATACAAGTTGAGAAGCACCGCGACACATTACTGTACAGTGCAAACGCTCACCCAATTACGCATGTATCACGTTGACATGTGTCATGTCACCAACAAGAAAAATGACACCTGACGTGATTAACGACAACATGTCAGTATTTGCACACACAAAAATTGTAATAAAAACTACAACCCCTTTCCCCCTTTGCAATCATTACCTGTAGCCTACTGTGTACCGTTCATAGTAACTTACCGTTGTATAACTGATTAGATAGAGTTATGATACTTGTCACTGAGTGGCAAGTATCATAATGGCAAGATCAGAAGTTATATTGAACTTCTGTTCAATATAACTTAAGTTTTATTAAGATAACAAGACGGCCTAAGTTATCACTGCAGGTGGCAGCTAATCCCACTAATACGATAAACAAACCGGCAACTATCTATTCCCACCGCGAGAGGGCAGCCCAACCCGGTCATCACTCCGGCCTATCAAACGCCAACTTCACGGGGGCGTGTTTCCGGAGTCCGCCCCGGGAAGAAATAAGACGCGGACAAATTGAAGATAAATACGAGTGGAAGGCAACATATAGTGGTCAGAGATAAAGACCAGGAGAGCTGGAGAATGATGATCCTACTTGACGCGACAGGTGGCAAGGGCAGCAGCAGGAGGAAGAGAAGAAGGAAGACGACGACAAGGAGGAGGACGACGACGTCAATGAGGAGCGGCACCACCACCACCACCAGCAGCACTCGGAGGAGGTCGAAGAGAAGTAGCAGGAGAAGGAAGAGCAGCAGCAGCAAGAGTCTTCAGCAGTAACA